AATATAAATGAATTTCTAAAAAAAAAAAAAAAAAAAAAAAAAACTACAATCTCGTTAACTTTAAAAACTTACAATCTAAGAACAGATTTGAACAAACAAATCAATAAAAAGTTATTTTTTGTCTCTTAATAAACGGTCAAAACTTTTTGTGTTTATATCATTTTGTACCATTTTATGACTACTTAACCATATGTCAGAATAAGAAAAATTGAAATAATCGAAGCTCATAAAAATACCCCCCCCCCAAAAAAAAAAAAAATAAGAAAAATAGAGGAAATTCGGGTTAGCCAGTTTCAATTTGAGTCAAATTATTTATATTAATTGAGTAGCCTCTTCTAATAAAACCCGAAAAAATTATATTGTCTTTAACGCAAAGAAATAAACATTTAATCTTTTGAAATCGAAGTATGCATCACCCCATTTACAACGTTTTTTTTTATTTCAAATATTAAGGAAAAGATAATGACCTTGCTCCTAAAATCAAACGGTCATTTAGATGATACCATTCACTAAGTGATTTTGTCTTCTTGAATCTGTGAAAATTTTATTAATTTTTAGATATAATGAATATGAGAAAAACCCCTCCTTAAGTGGAATATAGAAATATAGATTACTTGTATAATATTTAGCGTGTGCGACATTTGTCAATTGTTTTTTCCACAAGTTAGCGAAGATTTGATTTAGCGCAGTTCTGAATGTACTAGATATATGGATATACATATGTACATGAAATATACAATTAACGATGTACGTGTTTTAGCGGTGGCTGATTTCCACTGAATTCGTAAATAAGAATGCATAAGGAAATTTAATATTTTATAGTATATATATAATAAAGAAAAAAATGGAAAAGCTGATCCAATGTTCGTTGCCAATCTGTACACGAAGAAATTATATCTAACTGAAGGTTAGGGTTAAAGCATTGTAATTATGATACGATTGATTTTCTATTTTATTTTCTATTTTATTATATTGATTAAATGAGAATAATTTGTTTTGATTGAATGGAGATATATTAAGCAAAGCTAAAATTAGGGAAACGTACTGTGTATATCAACTTGAATGTGTATCCTGTAATATGAGAACTACAAGTTTGGTTTTCCAAAAAGACAGCATTGTAACTCCTTTTGTTTCACCAATGTTAGAGAATAAAAAGTTGGATTCAATTGTTTTTTCCACCGATTAACCAGGATGATTTTTTTTTAATTGACTTAAAGTAGGGTTTTACGTGCAATTGTTAAAAATGTAATAATGTCTGCAGAAGAAATTTAACCAGGTATTCTTAAAAATAACGACTACAAGGTTATTCCATCAAAAAGGCGGCTATATGTCGTTTTGTAATGCTCTGACTACAATGCCAATAAAATTAAAGTGCAAATAAGTCTCACAATCGCTTCCCAAAGCTCTTTGTTTACCTTATCTTTTACAGTGACATGTCAAGGGGTCATTGGAGATATGAAGGCAGACCTGAACAACTCCTCCATCACACTTCGGCTGCCAATTTCCAATTTTATAATAAATAAAATTAAGTCTCTAAAAAGTCCTTATCTACTCTCTTAGGTTTTTCAGTCTGTTCAGACATACGTTATATTATTGGCATTCTTTGAAGAAAAGAAGCAGTGGAGTATCTCCATTAACCAAATATGCATAATTTTCATGATGAAATACATAGAGTATGAGAGTATGATTTTAAGGGAGCCGACTGGGGTTTTACTGAGTGAAAACTACAATTGACAAACTCTATAATTGTAAGTCATATTTAACTTATAATTACACTGACTTCAGGGAAAAGTCTATCATCTAGGTATTGTTTATGAATATTTACTATATAATTATACGTTAAACTGCTAAAGTTTTGCACGACGAAGCAAACTATAATGCAGCAATAGTCGTTTTTCTCAAATTATAATATGTTTTGCATTGTGCTATATATAGCATTATGTGCAAGAAACATAAAGTTCCAACGTCTGGATTCCAGAGACAATTTAAATTATCAATATTAAGGAATTTTTTCCTCTTTTACAAAGTACTACTCCGGTCCTTCGGATGAGATCGTGTAAACCGAGGTCCCGAGTGACAGTAGATGTTGGCACTAAATTATTTAGTCTGATCAATTCTTTTTAAAAGATCACTTTTGTACACACACACACACACACACACACACACACAAAGATATATATATATATATATATATATATATATATATATATATATATATATATATATATATATATATATATATATATATATATATATATATATATACGTTGATAAGTTAAATTCTTGGTACAGTAAAAAATACTTAAATAAATGAAAACAGAATGCTACAGTCCAAATTAAATAAAATCTTTACTGTTAGCGCTTTCAGCCATGTTGGCTCTTCAGACAGTTATGAAAAGTTCAAAACGTTGCCAATAACGTTGCTAATGACGTCGTAAAAATCTTAGGTATTATGACGTCACAATGAAGTTTGTGGTAGCGGCTACATGAACTTTTTCAACGCAGTTAAAATACAATGTATAATTAAAGCATAGAAATAATATAAAATCTGTGAACACATAATCTATCATTTGCGATTTAGTTTTGGATTAAACAGTCTTATAAAATAGTCATCTTTGGTTACACGGGCGCTTTCATCCGATGTCCACATTTTGTAGAACGGGAAAATCTTAAATTTTCCTTCGCAGTACAGTTAAGGCAACATTTTCTATAAAAAGGCACCAAAAACGAGACACTTAAAGTTCATCCGTCTTATTTTTTAGCATGAAACTCTATCTGAAATATCTTAATGGCTTAATGAAGAGTTTGTCCATCGCTTTTCACATCGGTATTTTTTGTCATCATGTGACCCTCTACAGTCACGTGAGCTCTGATTTTAGGTCAAAATATGAAATGTCAAATTTAACCAAAAAGTGCAAGGGCAAGGCATACAATATTTGAACTGTACAATGTTTCATTGTGTCCCTTAGTATCTATCCTATCGAAAAACTGATGCTCATTCAGTCAGATTTCTGAGATATTTAAGTTATTCATTGAAAACAAACACCAGTATTCAAAAATAGGGTATTTTTCATCATTTAATCGGAAATTTTAAATTGCCTAATGAATTACAAAGAAATGAGCATCACTTTTTAAAAACTATACAGTAAAGTAAAGAATTTAAAATAAAAACCTACCTCTTGGGTTGTCGTCTTGCCCTTGCACTTTTTGATTAAAAAGTGAAATCTTAAGACAGTCATTCTAAATATAGTTTTCAAACGCATCATTGACCCAGCATGGGAGATAACTCTGCGATACTTAATAGAGATTGTGTACCTCGCAAATTTTGAACAAATAATACCTACGGACTGTGCTGGGCTTTATTTCATTAAATAAAATCGGTATGCATAAAAAAAATCCTTGACTTTACTATGTTTTGTATATCTTCGTTCTTTTATACCCTTCACAAGACGTATTTGACACCTACCGCATTTCCTCCGTTCGTCAACAATAGGCCTAAAATTTGCCGCAACATCATGTAAATCAATTGGAAAATGCCCATGGTTAAAAATATTGAAAGATTCAATTATTTGTAATACAAAATAGACAGTCTCTATCAATGATAAAATATTTATTCTTCCCCAGTAGACACACAGAAAAAATATCTCCAATAGAACTTAGTTTTTTTGTTTTTGTTTTTTTTTTTAAATAGCCTATATCTATATATTTATATACATATGTGATTATTTTAGTTATCAAACCTTCAACTGTTTAGGGATTCTAGACTACGTTATAAGTTTTAAGAACAGGAGGAAGGGATTGGGGAGCTTACTCCTGTATTTAATAACCTGTTTTCTTACTACAGATCTACCCCCCCCCCCCTCCCCATCACCAGTTTGCCAATGGCTCCTTTGATACCATTTGTCTTACTTGCATGTAAAAAACAAATTATTTAACAGTGTTTACATCAGGTTTTACTTTTTTGGGTATTTAGCACAAATCACATTGGGGGGAGGGGGGGGGGGGGGGCTTCAGTCTCATTTTTTTGAGTTATTATCAATCCATAAGATAATCATAGTAAAACTTTGTAATCAAGAAACATAGCTGTTAAAGAACAGGTGAACACAATATACATGCTAAAATTTAGATCTTATTGGTACCCAAAAACACAGACAGGCGCGTAGCCAGAATTGAAGTGAAATGTACGCAGAGAACGGCTGGGGTACGCTTTGAGACCCCCCGTTGGTCCAAGGCGATGCCCTGATGAGGACCTAGGGGCGAAGTCCCTGGAAGCTCATGGGTTTTACCAAATATTTCATTCGAAATCATGCCATTTCGATTTTCTTTTGAAAATACAAGAGTACTTAATATTGCTTTTAACACAAAGTTAAATACTTCCGTGCAAATTTATTGTACCTGTAGAGGCTGAATATTTTTTAAAATGATATATTGGTATCATCTACTCTTTTTTAACTTTCAGCAACAAATATAATTAATTTCAATTATTAACAAAAATAATGTTACATTTCAAATCATATTCTAGTGGATCACAGCATTCAACGGTTAATATTTTCTTAAAGATCTTTAAAAAAAATTATCAATGTGTTTTAGAAGAATTACAAATTAATAAATGTTTTATTTGGTTGTGGCAATGACTTAATAAGACCTTACAATTTTTTTTATAAAGACATGGTAATATAAAATTTGAATTTGAATCGAAACAATACGAGATAAAATAATTTGAAACACAAATATTTGCTGGGTGGTATTGATATTTTTTCTCTTTTCACAAATCTCTCCCTCCCCCCCCCCCTCCAATTTTTTAAATTTGAAAACGATGTGTACATATCTGCGTATTTGCGTATAGGCAGTTACGCGCCTGTCAGAATACATTCAAGTAAAGATATTAAAATCTTAACAGCCTTCAAACTTTCACACCATTGTACTGTTAAAAATTCAAAGTATTATTTATCTAGAAAATTTATTTACTAAGTAATTAAAAACAGCTTTTTAAATACAAAGGCAGGTTGTGAAGGGATTTCTGAGCAGGTGCAAAACATTTCAAACAGTCCACAGTTCAAACAGTTCTTCTGGATGAAATCAATTCTGAAAACAAAATGAAATACCATTATGGAAAGTTCATTGGTGTTTTAACAAAGTGATACTCAAAACAATGCATTGAGTAACATGGAAAGCATATACATGACTCTACTGTTTTTATTATCAAAACATTTTAATAATCTTGCTAGGAATACGTATGGTTTAGAGCTTATATGGAGCATACCTTTTTATTTTATTGGTGGAAACACTTGCTGCCTGAATGAATTATTCAAATTGCTTGGGAGTAGCTACAACACAATATATATGTAATGAGTGAAAAACATAATGATTACTATTGTAGAATGAAATGACATTGCATTGTACAAAACAAACCATGCTATACTATATTTTTCTGAAATTCTTAAAATAAATGGAAACAAACTTTTGATACAAAACTTTTCTGGGAAATTGAAACCTATGACATTTGCAAAAGTAGAATTGGTAGCTATACTTAATTTAAGTAAAAAAAAAATCAATATACTAAAGATAACATTCAATTCTTTCACCTATACAACATTAAAAAAAAATACTTAACACTGGCATACTATAAAATTAATGTGAAATGCTTTAGTGTGATCATACCCAGTGGAGAAATTGATGCATCAATTGTGATAGTTCTAGCTGATGTAAATGCCACTTTTAACCAGTTCTGTGACAGCTACAATGATAAAAGAATTATACATATAAACAGTACATAAATACATGTATATACATATAAGACTTACTGAATGTACATGTAGTCAGACAAAAAACTGAAATCTTAAAATTCACGTATTTTTGATTGCCAGAGGTATAAATTAAAATTTATAGGGTCTTATACTCCTTTATGTACAGTGCACATACATTGTACACTGTGCAGTTTGACTTCACAAGTACATGTACATTGTAAGTGACTGCATCTAAATTATACTATTTGATATCATGACGCACTGTGCTTATATTATGTTACATGTTTGTACATGTATGCCAAAGGACAACATCACTGCAACTTTCATAATGTGTGTGTTTTTGTGTATGTGTGTGTGTGGGGGGGGGGGGGGGGGGGTACACACAAGGCACTGCATTGGAGTTTGTGACGGACTGTAACAATACATCTTATTGTACATGTTCACGGTTATTTTACATCGATGTAAAGAATAGTATGTCTACATGTTAATACCTAATACATGCACATACACACCTTAATGAACACAAAGGGACCTAGGGACGTAGTGCGGATCGTCTCAGTTTTCCATGATTTCCCGAAATAACGTCATCATCTTCTCATCAAAAAGATAAACAAGGCCCAGGTCTCTTATTTCATCCCTATTCTCTTAAAGATTGCCTGATTGTTGCATTTATCTACTGCATATCTCAGCTGCTGTCGCCACGTTTTTAGATGTAAACAACATTCCGTGTCACCGAGTGCAAGCGCTTGGCTGAAGCTGAATGCAGCCAAACGACACAATAAAAAGAGAATTATTTCGAAAACGTGTTGTTACTATATAAGAGAAAATCACTAATGTTTATTTATTTAAACCTGAAAATACAGACATTCATTACAAATTCTGGCAATCATCATTAAATAGCTTTTTTGAGCTCTATTTCCTTATATGGATCTATCAAGGCGGAGCAACTGTCATGACGTCAAACCTCATTATGACCTCATTACCATATTATCTTCATGTGTAGCCTTAACTGTACTGCGTTTACCACACTCAGCAAAATGTTCTGAACATGGGGTGCATCTGACAGTTTCGTCCCTTATATGTTGTTTGTGAACCCTAACTCGTGCGTTGAGTTGATTTGTCTGCCCTATATAATGTTCTCCACAGGTAGGGCATATTGCACAGTAAATCAAATTTGAAGATTTACAATTCATACTGGTATTTGGTTTTAAAATTTTCCCCTTTTTAAGTGTAATATGTTCGCCCTCCTGAATGAAATCACACGTTCCACATCGGGGGTCACCACACTTTTTGACGACTCTCTGGTTGCTAGAGGAAAATTTCGCTTTGGTTAAAATCCGCCTCAGGTTTGGTGCTTGTCTTCTGCTGTTAATTATTGACGATTTGTCCAGAAGATTTTTCATGTTTTCAGATTGTTCTAATATTGGAAAAAATCGTTTCGCTGAATTTAGAATATTGTGGTTACGTGGGTTATGAGTTATCACAAATGGGATGTTCTCTACGTCGTTTTCCTCTGGATGGCGACTTTTTCTTAATTTGGTTATTGGTATGTCTTTTGCCCGGTTGATTCCGTCCTCAATAAGGTTTATTGGATAGTTTTGTCGCCTCAGGTGTTGTTTTAATTCTTGGAGTCTTTTCAAGCGTAGAGTAGGCTCGGTCACAATGGTACAAATACGTCTGGCCATATTGTATGGAATGTTCCTTTTTGTATGTGACGGATGGCAGGAACGAAAGTCCAAGTATTGGTGAGTATCTGTTTCTTTACAGAATAGGTCTGTAGAAATATCTTCTCCGTTTTTTATTATGAGTATATCTAGAAAAGGAAGTGAATCACGATTCATGTCATTTGTGAAATTTATTGAATCGTGTAATTCATTAATGACCGAATGGAATTTTCTAAGAGGACCTTAGAAAAATCTTCTGGACAAATCGTCAATAATTAACAGCAGAAGACAAGCACCAAACCTGAGGCGGATTTTAACCAAAGCGAAATTTTCCTCTAGCAACCAGAGAGTCGTCAAAAAGTGTGGTGACCCCCGATGTGGAACGTGTGATTTCATTCAGGAGGGCGAACATATTACACTTAAAAAGGGGAAAATTTTAAAACCAAATACCAGTATGAATTGTAAATCTTCAAATTTGATTTACTGTGCAATATGCCCTACCTGTGGAGAACATTATATAGGGCAGACAAATCAACTCAACGCACGAGTTAGGGTTCACAAACAACATATAAGGGACGAAACTGTCAGATGCACCCCATGTTCAGAACATTTTGCTGAGTGTGGTAAAGGAAAATTTAAGATTTTCCCGTTCTACAAAATGTGGACATCGGATGAAAGCGCCCGTGTAACCAAAGAGGACTATTTTATAAGACTGTTTAATCCAAAACTAAATCGCAAATGATAGATTATGTGTTCACAGATTTTATATTATTTCTATGCTTTAATTATACATTGTATTTTAACTGCGTTGAAAAAGTTCATGTAGCCGCTACCACAAACTTCATTGTGACGTCATAATACCTAAGATTTTTACGACGTCATTAGCAACGTTATTGGCAACGTTTTGAACTTTTCATAACTGTCTGAAGAGCCAACATGGCTGAAAGCGCTAACAGTAAATATTTTATTTAATTTGGACTGTAGCATTCTGTTTTCATTTATTTAAGTATATATATATATATATATATATATATATATATATATATATATATATATATATATATATATATATATATATATATATATATATATGATAATCAATTTTAAAAGACAAGGTGAAGCTATAATTTTCACATTTCAAACAATTTAATTTGAATTTTTTTAGCTTTGCTATGGAAATTATAGGATAAATACATATATAAAGCTGAAAAATATGTTGTTTCCTTAAAAAAATCGTTTGCATGTAGATTTCCAAATCTTCGAATGCTAATTGATATCTATGAATGTAATGTGAGAGAGAGGTAGAGGAACACGTAGGTCTAGTTAAGGTCTTCAGCTCCATCGGGAGACTTCTACTGATTCTGATGGTTAAGATTATTCTTATTATTCTCTTTTTTTCCTAGACGCCAACTTTGAGACCTCATATCTTGCTCATTTCTCAACGGATTTTGCTCATTTGCAGGGTTTATAGACGTTACAAAACTCTATCAGAAAGCTGTCAAACATTTCACAAATCCACTTTCGCTTTTGGGTTATCTCCCCTTAAATGAAAATTTAGGAGGCTTCATTTCCAGACAAAGGCTCCGAGACTACAAAAGCTGGAGTAGAAATTCTACCGAATTTAAATAATAGAAGCACTGAAGTTGTGTACATCGGTTTTTGTTTTTTCAATTTCTGTATTCAAAATGGCGCTAGAGAGGGGTCAAAAATTAGAACGCCTAAAAGAGCGAAAATTTACACATATTTTCCTTTTTATCTTCTAAACTAAAAATATTTTGATAAAACATGTAGAATAAAAGTTGTGCACAATCTTAAGGCCTCTCATTTGACACCGCTAAAAAGGGTCTGGCCCCTAAAATTAGGGATCTGGGGCCCTTTAACCACTTCTGTGCCACAGGGCCGATTTTGGGCCGATCACACAGTTGCGTAGAGTGCCACGGGGCCGATTTTGGGCCGATTTTATTGAAATGAATTGTGACTATGTATTTCTTTTACTTCTATTCACCGTAAATAATTATTGAACTTTTGCATCTTTTCATTGCATAACATTAAAGTTTTTATGGCTTATTTGTAGAATATCATGAAAATTTCAGGCAAATATATGGATAAACAAAGTGAATTTCATACCAGCGGTGACGCCATGAATTTTTCAAATAAATGAGTTGTTACTTATAATAATGGTATTATTATTATTGAATATGCTCAATGAACACGATTGCATTTCAAAAGTATATATTTTTTTATATTTACATTTAAAGTATATATTATAAATTCAGTATATTGAGGAACTACTCGTCCATTTAGCAGCAACGGTTAGAATCAACGTCATTTTACGTAAATGACGTCATAATAACAAGTACGTGTAAGCCAAACCTTGAGAGAACGTTCCGAGTTTATAGATTACCAGTAATTCCAGGCATTTAGATTGAATGACTGATTGTTTAATTCCGTGATTTAATATTGTCAAGTTTATTTATTTTATTTTGTTGCGTATGAAGACATTGCACATGTCATATTTTCTAAAGAACAAATTAAAATTGATTTCCTGTTTCGTTTTGTTTCCTGTGTTTGATGTATTTTTCGTAAGTTTCCTAAATGCAGATATTACATGCTGCTACTCAACTAAAAGCACCTAATAATTAAACATATTGAAAATATAACGAAAGCTAATAATTTCAAATGTTTGATTTTGCTTTAATTGTATTCCGAAATTTTAATTTTAATCAATATTTATTTATCAATATTTATTTTTTATTTGTTCCGTATTGACTTTATTTATTAGATATCGGTATAACTTTTAATATTTCATAGATTTTATTAACAAGACGCATGAATTCAATGTATTACAGTGAAAGGGGTAATCATGATCAGTTTGATATGTTTGATATGATCATTTTTCTTCCAGAATTTTAATGGAAAATAATGACGCAATTTTATTGAAATCTCTAATGAGTACGAGGGTTGTCCGTAAAGTTCGTGGACAACATTGATAATTACTGACAAACATTGATAAAATATATGAAACTATTAATTTCATTAAATTCAGGTTTCAGTTTATTAATATGCAATTTTTAATCACAAACAAAGCACGATTAGTTATATTTTTATCAGATACAAAAAAGATACACACTCATACCCGGAGCACTAAAACGAAAATCCTTAACGTTACTCGACGTCAAAAGCTAAATACATTTAAGTTTTCTCAACGTAGTCACCGTTTAACTCAACACATTTCTTATGTCGCTTTAACCAGCCATCAAAAATGTGCACAAACTGTTCTGGTTTCATACATGAAATAATATTTAACACTTCCTGTCTCAGGTCCTGCAAACCTCTGTCCTCGTAAAACGACTGTATGTACGGAAAGTCACGTTACGAACTTCATTTTTTACAGCACTACAATCTCGGAAAGATGGTCTTCCTTCACGCATGTCATCCAGTAAACTGTCCCTTCCGTCCGAAAATCTCCTGTGCCACTTAAACACTAAAGAATGGCTTACTTTACCAACTTTCCCAATTTCCCAACTGTTTAAGGAAATTAGGAGTCTCTATTGGTGTTTTTCCGATGTCTGCAAAAATTATTATCACTGCTCTCTGCTCCACCTTTTCAGAAAACGTCCCTTTATCGAACAATGCCGATCCTGTCTTAATAAACTCTGACCTCGATTTCTCTGCCATTTCGGAACTTTGAACGTTCAAATTTTACAGGTTTGACTTTATAACTTTTTTCAACCTCATAATGTGAAAGCCATTCAAATTTCCACGGAATTTTACAAAATACAAATGAAATGTATAAAGTGATAAATAATTCTTTAATTAAAACTTTGTTGTCCTCCAGATCACCATCCCGAGTCTAATAATGAAGTCATAATTGTAATTACACATTTATAATTGAATATTTTTTTTATTTTGTAATTCACA